ATAAATACATACCTATATTAGAGGGGTACTGTTATTTTTTAGTCTCTTTAAAGTTAGGATTCTAACTAAATGTTGTTGTACAAGATTAGCCAAAAGTGTATGTTACTAATGTGTACTTTGTTATGGGCCCATATTGAGTTTCTGATTCTGTGGTTATTTTGCAACAAGAAAAATTGTTTAGATACATGGTACATCAGAGTGTCCAATGAAGTAACCCCATGGGAACTAAAAGAGCTTTAGAATCTTAATATACACAGCTTTCAAATGAGATCATAAATATGAGCGTATCTAGATTTGGAGCCAATGCAAGCAGCCTAGATTTTTGCCTGCCAAATGTCATTTTTGGCTTCATCTACTTTCCATATAATCAAAGAATTGTACCACATGGAACCCTTTAAACAATAAGGAGGAAATAACATAATTTTTCAATTGCTCTTGAAAAAGATTTTAACTACATAAAATATTCTAGGGTTCTCTAAGAAGTTACAGTTGCAAGTAATGTAATTGTTCAGTACTGAATTCCTAACATTTTTGCAGGAAAGAGTTGATGATTTGGAAATTTTAACCAATCCCCGCATGGCAAAGCTTAGACCAATCTAAATTCCCAAATAACATTTTGTGTAGAAGAGAGAGTTAAGGCCCCAATCCTGCAAACACTCACATATGTGTAACTTTACTCACACAATCAATTTCAATGACCAAACAATTTTGATGAGCAAAGTTACTCAGATGACTAAATTTTTGCAGGATTCAGTCCTAATGTTGTAAATAGACCATTAATTTACCACATTATTAGAACATTGTAGTTATTGAGGAAACAAATGTTTGAAAGTCAGGAAATTCTGAATTATGGTTAAAAAACTGACATTTGAAAGGTAAAATATTGGCTAGTTCAGATCCAAGATCTAAAGTCTAGAAATATTCAGTTAAGGTACTAGCACAAACTTCTGTGCTGTTCCTTTCCTCAGTCTCTCATGTCCTCTCCTTCCGGACATGAGAGAACTCCATTAACTGCTACTTGACAGAATTTAAGCTGCTGAGTGCCTTCTTTGAATGCTCCCTTTGGCTTCATTTCGAGTTGAGGATGCATAGCTCCTCCTCCGTGATGCCTTGTCCCCTATATGTTCAGGTTATAAGTCTTTTCCTTGTTTCATATCTGTAAAGATAAAACATGACAGCGTCTCTTTTATTTGTGGTTAGTCCAGTGAAAGAGATTGTCACCTGGATCTTTGACAAGTTACACATGAAATCATCTGGGATGCATGAGATGACACGCTTTGGATTTGTTCACCTGGTATCTGGGAGCACAGCATTCTCAAGGGAGGACCTCAACTCTGGAATTTACTTCCTCCTTGGTGCAACAGAATCCAAGTTTGTTGAACCTGCAGGCAGATTGCAAAATCTGTCTTGTAACTCAGCCTTTCTCTGAGATGGGATGAACTAAGCTGTGGGTGTTCTTTTATCAAAGAGGCAGGAACTGTCATTGATTCTATATTTGTACAGTGCCTAGCATAATAGAATCCAACTTGATTGTGCCTTATAGGCACTACGGCTATAAAAATGTTAAATGATAATAAATACTGGCTTCGGGAGCTCTTTTTGATGTGAGTTTTGATGCTATGTGTAGGCTAGATTCTCAGCTGGCATAAATCAGCCTATCTGCATTGAAATCAGTGAAGCTACATTAATTTAAACCAGTTAGGGACTTCGCCTTGTATGTCTGGATGACTACTCTAGTTTGTGATTTGAAATGTCATTCTGTTTTGCGCACACAGCACATCTATGATGGGTGCCTGTACCTATCAAAGAATAAAGAAATAAAAAGATTAAAAAATTATTCTGCTTTTTATTTATGCTTTTATTTCTCTATAGAGCCAAAAGAAAATCCCACTTCTCTGTCTTAGAGCTTGTCTACACTGAAAATGCTACAGTGGCACAGTTGCAGCACTGCAGTATAGACACTATCTACATGTAGATAATCCACCTCCCCAAGAGGTGATAGCTAGGTTGATGGAAGAATTCTTCCATCAACCTAGCACTGTCTACACTGAGAGGTAGGTCGGCTTAACTGCATTGCTCAGGGGTGCGGATTTTTCACACCCCTGAGAGACATAGCTGTGTGAATGACTTTTCTAAACTCCTTTCCTTCCTTCCCTCCAATCTGAGCCTTGCCTGTAGACATCCACAGGGACTACACACTTTGGTTTAGCTTAGCTAGTCACTGGATGTCACTATTGTTTCACCAATAGCTGCAAACTAATATTTTTGGTTAGTTCAAATTTCAGGCAGGGAGGGTCTGAGGTGTTAGCCTTATCTCTAATCTGTACTAATTTACAGAGTGCACTTTTTCAAGTCAACCATGTCTTCATTTATCCTGTCTACTGCATGTTCTATGGATGCTGAAATATCAATGTTAGGCTCTGAAGCTAAACAGGTTTGGCAAAACTGCAGTTTCTGCCATGAAAATCTGCCAGACAGTGATTAATTCTGTGGGAACCTTCATCTTATCTTCTTGAGTGGTGGAAATAGTCAATGACCTCCTGCAGCAATCTGATTGGTTCATTAATATTGGTAGTGTTGTCTAGAACTAAAAGTGTAGGATTGGGCCTCAGGACTCGAGCTCTACTCCTGGTTCTGCCACTGAATCACTCTGGGCCTGTTTTCATATCTTCATCCTGCTATTAATATTTACCTACCTCACAGAGCTCTTGTAAGACTTAGCCGATTCATGTTTGTAAAACCCTTTGAGATTCTCAGTGCAATAGAACTGCAAATTATCATAATTAAATGGGACATTTGGGAAGGAACAGGGGGAGTGATCCGATTGTTCTAAATTCCAAGACATTGCTATTATATACTGTGTAAATCTTTACATCTGACAGGTCCTATCACCCTCCAAAAGCAGACAACAAAGCTCAAGTATGAAACTTACTTATAAAGTTAGTCAAGCTCTAGATAGGAGAACACGAAAAACAAAGTTTCAGCCCTTCCTCTTCTCCCAGCTACAGTATTAAACCCTTTAATATACAAGCATTGTTTTTGAGCTTTGATGTAGATTTTTGGAATGTCAGAAGACCCACTAGCTGTTTTGATGATCTGGATGGTTGGAGGGAGGGAGGGTTTACACTCATCCCTTATTAAGCACCTGCAGATAAATAAGGATACAAGCTGGAGATCATCTGAATTTCTGTTTGCAGCAGTGAGTGATTCCTTAAGAGTCTGAGCCTACACCAATAAAGTCAATGGGAATTATGCCATTTTTGGGTGCCTACCTTGAGATATGTGAGACCAAATTTTCAAGTGCTCAGCACCCACAATCAAGTCCAGATTGTCAAAAGAACTCAGTGCTCACTGTGTTGAATACTTGTAAAATCTGGCCTTTTATTTAGGTGCCTAAACAACAGCTGAGCAATTTTGAAAATATGGCTCTATTTGTGCAGGCTGCATTCTCCTGCCTTCAATGAGGTAAGGTGAAAGGCGCTCAGGGTCAAATGGGAGAGGAAGGGCAGAAAGCATTCTGGGACAAAACCTCCTGTGGGAAGAAAGAGTTGCTAAAGGTGAGGAAGGAGTAGGTTGCCAAAGGGATGGGTGGTTTCAGTAGGTATATTTTCACATCTGTTTATGAAGCTGGATTAGTGGCCAGTATACATATATGTGGAATAACCCACTCTCGGCAGTGTATAGTCTAAAATATTTTAATGTGCAGATGCAGAAAATAAATGAAGTTACATAGTCCCAATCCATGTCCTCTGAGCACCAGACCTTGTGTCATACTATAGAATAGGTTACTTTGTTCTGTTTGATCAAAATAGTCTTTTAAAATAACTTCCTAGCATTTAGAATGTGTTTTCTTTCTCCTCCTCTACATATTTTTTGTGGTTTCCATAATTCGCTGAATACAGTATGCTGCACTATTCACCTTTGTCTGCAGTTCAGGACCTTCATATGGTTTCCCCCTCAGTGTCTTCCCCGTGTCCTCAGTCCACAGCTGTGGGATCTATGTGGGTGTTCCTACTCTTTAGGATTTTGAAATTCAATTAATTTTTCGGTCACTTTATTGGCAGGACATGGCTTGCCAAAGTCGATGCATCAAGTATTTAGGCCAAATTCAGCAAGGGTGTAATTGATGGGACTGCAATGAAGTCTAATGTATTAGTAAAGGCAAACCTTTTGCCAGAACCCTTTTGAGTTGTGCCCACTTATGCTAGCAGTAATTTGGCCCTGGGTGTCTAGGGCAAGTTTTAAAGGAGTAACGGGGATTTATAATAAATAATAAATTTGTTAGTCTCTAAGGTGCCACAAGTACTCCTGTTCTTTTTGCGGATACAGACTAACACGGCTGCTACTCTGAAACGGGGGATTTATATGGTGACTCCATTTTGGATTTCAAATAAATCCCAGACACTTGATTCCCTAGTGATACCAGAACGAATAGGTCAAATTTTATATTAGTACATGTTTAAATGTTTGGGTTTATTTTAATTTTGTTGAGAATCCTACATAACAAATGAATGACAAAGGCAAAAGCTAGTGGAAATTTGGCAGGTGAAGTACAGGGCACAGGATCAGGCCATCGGTCTATCAAATCCTGGCGTCTCCTTGAAGTAACCCAACACCTGATACTGCAGGAGAATGGGGCCAAGCGTAGGATGCTGTGGAATGGGCTCATTGGAGGGGCTTCCTCACCTGCGGCCCATCAGGTGAGGCCACAGGCCAGGAGCTGGGACCCCAGACTATTACTGATGGTCACAGAATTAGGCAAGGGCCCCACAGCCTGATGGTCTCAGCTCCACTCCAGCAGCTGCCCCATCTCCCCTTCCTGCTTTCGTTCTTCCCCAGGTTCCCTTCCTCCACTTGATCCCGGGGGGCACGTACCCCCTCCCTCTCTCCCCTCTACTCGGCCTCGGCCCGCCGCCCCGGCCCGGCCCAGCCCCGCGCGGGTCCCGTGGTCTCCCGGGTCAGCTCCCGGCGCCTGCGCGCCGCTCCGCCCGCCCCCTGCCCGCTGTCAGGATGAGGCGGAGGAGGCGGAGGCCCAGCCCGGCAGCTCCCGTCTTTCGCAGCGGCTCCTGGCGTAGCGGTTTCAGCCCCAGCGCCGCTGCCTGAGGGGAGCGGGGGACGCCGGCGGAGCCATGGCCCAGCCCGGGGCTGCGCCGCGCGCAGACGGTAAAGGAACCTCTCGGCCGGCCGCGCTCCCGAGGCGGGGCGGGCGCGGCCTGTGGAGCCCCGGGCTCGCCTGGGGAGCCGCACCGGCCAAGGGGGCGTGGAGAGTGGGGGCCGGGGCCGAGCAGCGGGGGTGTGTGTCAGGGCTCGAGTGACAGGCCCTGGGGAGATGGGAGGGGGGGGGGCGTTTCCCGGGATTGGGGGTGACAGGCCCAGGGGAGATGCTAGTGCAGGGGAGGGGGCATTTCCCAGGATTGGGGGTGACAGGTCCTAGGGAGATGCTAGTGCAGGGGAGGAGGGGGGGTGACAGGCTAGTGCAGGGGGGGCATTTCCCGGGATGGGGGGTGACAGATCCCAGGGAGATGCTAGTGCAGGGGAGGGGAGGGCGTTTCCTGGGATTGGGGGTGACAGGTCCTAGGGAGATGTTAGTGCACGGGAGGGGGAGTGATAGGCCCCGGGGAGATGCTGGGGGCGAGGGGAGTGACAGGCTAGTGCGGGGGGGGGCATTTCCCAGATGGGGGGTGACAGGTCCCAGGGAGATGCTAGTGCAGGGGAGGGGGCATTTACTTGGCATGGGGGGTGGGGAATGACAGGCCCTGGGGAGATGCTAGTGCAGGGGAGGGGGAGTGACAGGCTAGTGCAGGGGTGGGGCGGGGGGCATTTCCCTGGGATGAGGAGTGACCGGTCCTGGGGAGATGCTAGTGCGGGGGGAGAGGGGGTGACAGGCTAGTTTGTGTGTGGGGCATTTCCCTGGGATGGGGAGTGACCGGTCCTG